AATGCCTCCAACAAGTACCCATGACTCTCATATATATATATATATATATATATATTTATATATATATATATATATATATATATATAAATAAATAAAACACAGCAAAATTGTTCGTCATCTTTACCATCAACAGGCTGCAGCCTTGTCCCAAATTCCTCATTTTCCAGCCACTTTTGTTGAAATTTGCATTTCCCCCATTCTCTAGCTTTTACTTCGCCTCAAGCTTCTTTTCCAAACTTACGGCTTTAAAGCTGAAGTCTGTAAGTTTTTAAAAATCACTTTTTTGTCATATTGGCTAAAACTGTCCCTATGCCCAGACAGCAGTACATGTGATATGTAACCTGTGAAAAAAACTGCTTCAATTGGTACCGCCTACTGCCTGTATTTCAATCTGGAAAGAATAATTCGGGACGAGTCAAAACAACCAATCACAGCCAGAGGAGCGTCTGATGGAGTGTCAATCACTCCCCCCCCCCCCCCCCTTCTGGTCGCATGCGGTAGCCACGCAGATGCTGTGAGAGGGGTGGAGCTTGGAGGTGGGGCATGAGTGAAGCAGAGAGGGTGGGGGAGTGGCGTGAAACCTTTTTTTCTTCAAATTTTCAGTCGAAGTCTGCTCTCTCCTCAATGTTAAAGACTGCAGCTTTAAGATCAACCGGAAACAGTTCTGCTCAAACACGTAGAACCAGTTATATCTGAAATAATATATCTGACGAAATCGTTTTTTTTTTAAAGCATTTTAAATCCCACGATAATCACATTTAATGAATTTTAATGCCAATTAAGGCCTTAATTAAAAAGTATATCATTTAAACCCTCTAAATCTTTTAAATTAGCAGTTACTTTTAGCTAAACATTTTTCAAAGTTTAATCTTTGGATGATATTTTGTTCACATTCTTATTTACCAAACGTGATTTTCGCTTGCAACCATAAATTCACAGCACACTAACATTCCCCCACATAGATGCCAGAGGATGTGCAGGAGTGAACCAAATTTTACACAAAAAGATGCAGGAACAGGATTAAAACACGATTCTCATTTAGACCCATGCCTCTTAATGCTATTTACATTTCTGGGAATTTTTCATCCAATTGAACATTGGATAAAGTCAACATCAATTCATGCAAATCTTTGCAAAAGGTGTTTGTAAGTTACCATCACATCATATTCCTCGAATCTCACTTATTTGCCAAGTGGTTTTGCATCTGGCCCGCAATTAATTGAGAAATGGACAGAAACCAGACCTAGGCACTTTGCTTGTGTACACACACTATGGCCTCAGAGTAATTTATCTCTTTAAAGACTGTTAAAATCTGGCTTTGTTAAGAGTGGGAGCAAGAAGAAGTGGTGCATATCTGCTGTTCCCACATTCTGGTCACCTTCAGTGAAGTGCTGCAGCTGTACATATCCCGTTTCTTTCTGGCAGTGGGTTGCTTGGTTTGCTTCGGCCTTGTAGATATGTGTGTGTGTGGGGGGAGTGTGTATGTCTAGGAGATGCCATTACTGAAAAATGCTACTGTTATTTTTATGGTAGCCTTCTAAAAGCAGAAGAGCTATCTGGGAGATCTTTCTTCTTCAGAGATCAATTAGGTCTTCACTTAGAAAGCCAGTATTGATTCTTCCATCCCAGCATTAGAATGACAGCGGATGCTTAAAAAAAACACTATTAAGAAGATGTATTTGTGAATATGTCCACTAATGGTGCGCCGTAATGGGTCAAGGATGTCAAACAGCTGCAGATAACCATGAGGAGGTTTAGCTCGCCAAGTATGCCATCTCAACGCAATTATATTTATGGAATAGATTTAAAATTTCATCGCATTGTTTTGGTTCAAGCAAACACCCTCTCTAGTGCCGAGCTTAGACAATACCAACAGAGAGAGTATCAGTCAAAGTAAGAGCTAAAGGATTTTGCATTATTAATCCAGGAGTCACTTTATAGTAGTACTTTAAGCGTGATGAACCTGTTAAGAAGTGGTGATTATAGGCATGTTGTGATGGAAGAAAAATACTTTTCTGTCGTACGTTGAATGCAAAATATGGACCCCAAGATTACTTTGTGCGGTTTGGAGAGTTGCAAAGTATAAAACAAGGGGTAAAGGGATTTTTTTTTAATCTGCTCTACGATAAGATGTTTGACCCTCTAAAGGCTGATTTACAGTTCGAAACCAGGTCCTCTGCGTAGGTGTCGCAGTGAACAAACAGACGTCCCCCCTCCCTCCGCAGACACTCTGCTACACCTCTCCCAAATTGTAGGTGACCGTAGACAGTGCCGCAGAAAAGGAGGCCGGCTTGTTTTGTCTTTATGACCGAAATTGTGGAAAACAACTCGTGAAGTTGGACCAGCTAGAAGAGCGAGGTGCGCAAGAACGTTGAGACCCCTTTTCCACCTGGATCCCCGCTCGTTTTCGCCGTCATTTCCCTCTGTTGTCTACGGTGGCCCTGAAGTGCCAACTGCAACTACAAATCTAAAAGCGCAACTACATTAAGGAAATCGCAACTACATAAAGCAAAGCGCAACTACATTAAGGAAAACAAAATTACATTAACCTACCGGAAAAGGTAGGTACCAGTGGGAAACATGAGACATCGCTGATTGGACGACGGCGCCGTTTGACCCTTGAACCGGAAGTTGCGTCGTCTGAACAGTCCAGCTTCTTTTAAGTGTGTCTTCAGTGTACGCAAACTAACTGAAATTTTGTGATTAGTCTTGAGCATATCCAGTATCACCTCGTACGTATGTCCTGATTCAAAATATTCCTGGATAACGGCAGCTATGTTTGGGGCGCCGACAATATCCATGTTTTCAAAAGCCGCAGCAGGCAGAATGACTTCCGGTTCAAGGGTCAAACGGTGCCGTCGTCCAATCAGCGATGTCTCATGTTTCCCACTGGTACCTACCTTTTCCGGTACTCAGAGATTCACTTCCACACAGAAAGCCCATATTCTTATCTTCAGGTAACAGAGTACATGTCAGATTAAGTGATACTACTTATACTTCAACAATAGTATCTAGGTGTTACTTTATCTTATGTCTCGTACCAAGTCCGTTGGTTGTTCTGTTCTTTTTACATCTCTTTGTAAGTGATGAAGCAGAATAAAGATGTTTTATTGTTATCTCCCTTTTATCTCCTCTTTCTTTCATCTTTGCTCCTTTTTTTGTTTTTCCTTTCCTGTTCTACTTGCATTGCAGTGTCCATATAAACTGTAAAACTCCCTGCATAATTATAATAAAGCTATTTATATGCATAAATCAAGTGGAACAGTATGGCAATAGCCGTACTGTTCCACTTGTGAAAGCAAAATCTGTTGGACTCTTTTTGGCATCAAGACAATTATTCTTATTGCCACATCGCCAGACAGGACACTGTTAAACAAAATAAAAAGAAAAGATATGCATAACCCCCCACCCCCCGTATTTCCTTTTTGGCAGAAACTCTGACTGTAGTGCCGTCCTCAACGCCTGGCACACCTTGGACACTATCCCAGACACTAGTTTCTAGCTCTGTGCGACGGTCAGTTGGTTTGCACCTGAAGCCAAAACACGCAGCGCCACGGCCGGTGTAGGGCGAACGCTCATCGGTGAACTGTGTGTCATCTGGCAACGGATGAGGGGTTGTAGACGGCGACAAAGCTCGTCAAACCGACACACCTAGCTAGTTCCTGATTGTCCATCTTCCATTCTGAACATGATCCAAAGAAGATGTTCACAAGACAAGGTGTCTGCCTTATCTAAATGACAGTGGGTTTATTGAAGCAGGCGTATGATGACATCATCAAAAAAATCAGGTTGGGTCTGACCCTGATCCGGAACCTGGTCCGCTAATCTGTGACCTCTGATTTAGATCCTTTTATACCTATTCTATTTTATACTATATTCAAGGTATGTTGAATTATTTTGTGTTTTTTATTCTTTTATTTAATTGTGTCCCTTTTACCCTCCATACATTGATGTCTGTTATTGGTTTGTCTCTCTGTCTCATTTTAAAACTCTTCTTAAAACCCACCTCTTTTCTTTGGCTTTTGACACCATGTAGAGTGTTGATTTTATGTACACGCATGCATATTTTTATCCTGTCTGGGCAGTGCTTTTATTTAATTTACTTTTATTTATTTTATCTTTTTTGTGCAGCACTTTGGAAACCTTGTGTTTATTGAAATCATGATATATAAATAAAGTGGATAGGATTGGTTCAAACTGATATTCTGCAGCAGATGAACTCTCTGCTTTTAAGGGATCATCCTTTCAGATCTTTATAGACTTGCATATTACTTAAAAGTACCAATCTGCATATCAAAACATGAGAAAGACGCGTTTAGATGAATAAGCTGTGCATGTGTGGCCTGAGATGACCCGGGGTTGGAATAAATGAAGTTAAGCATAAATGGCAGATGTGCTGCTTTAAGAAGCATGCAATCAGGTAAGCAATAGAGGAGAAACAGTGTCCTGCTGGATGAGTCAGCCATTGAATGGAGCTGACCAGGCCACATCCGGGTCTCTTCCTGACAGGAAACTTCTCTGGATCCCAGATATCCAAAAACAGACATATTAGGAACACACCCAGACTTCAAGCCTTACAAAAGTCCTGTCTGACTAAGGAGGTGGAAAAAAAACAAGCCGCAATGCAGGACTTTTTTTTCTTTCTTTTTTTTAAGAGGGGTACAAAAAAAAGGGAGAGATTCCAGAGAAAGGGCTGACTGAGTCAGAGAGAAGCGCTGATTCACAACCAAAGGAGCGCAAGTTGTTTCAAAAAGAAAAGAAGAAAATAAAAATGTTAATGTTGGGCTCTGTCCTTAAAGGAATGAGGATAAATATAGATGCGCCTCCAGCTGAGACTGACAGACGGACACTTTTAATCTGCGCTGGTTGTTTTGTTTTGTTTTTTTCCTACTGAGGAGAAAACTAACGGTATCCAAACAGCGACTTTCTCCACAGACACCGCAGCAGCGCTACTTTCTAGGATGGGGAAAGACAAACCGTCCTGCGGATGGAAAGCTTACCTTTTACTGGGGAGGAGAGGTTCCGCGCGGCGGGGTTCGGGCTCCCTCTGTCCTCTCTGACCAATGAGGCTTCCTGGATCCCCGGACCCAGCTGAGCGCGCGGGCGGATGGACCGTCAGCCAAAGGGGCGTGGCCTTCCATAGAAACCCCAGCTCACTTTACTGTTATTGATGCACTCCCATGGGCGGGGATAGATACCATCTCTGGTCCACTAATAATAAAAATAATATTCAATTCATTTTATTTCTATAGCGCTAATTCACAGCACAATAGATTGATTCAAAGTTTTCCATCTAAGGAAAACCAGTTGATTGCATTCCTTCACGCTAAGCATGCTTGCAGCAACAGTGGGGAGGAAAAACAGGAAGAAATCTCCAGCAGAACCAGGCTCAGTGTGAGCGGCCATCTGCTGAGGCCGACTGGGGTTCAAGGTGACAGAAGTAGACATAGAAAAAGAAGCATAGATACAAAAGATAACATAATAAATGCTGAAGACATAAGTAAAGTTTATATAATATATTTAGTAACAGCTGTAGATAAAAAAATGAAGAAAATTGCAGAGCGCAGTCAAAGGCCACTTTAAAGGAGAAGTCCGGTTATATTCAGAATACAAACTTCTGAAAGTACTTTAAATATGAAATTATTTCATATTGTTCAATAAATGATAAGTATTTTTTAATTAATAATAATTAAATTTTAAATGTGCTTTACTAGAGACTCCATGTTTGTCAAAGAACACTAGATGGATGGTCGGTTGGATGGACAGACGGACAGATGGATGGACTTTTTTTTTTACTTTATTGATCTCAAATTGGAGAAATTAACTCTGCATTTAACCCTTCCCCTTGCGGAGCAGTGGGCTGCCATTGTGTGGCACCCGGGGAGCTGTGAGGGGTTAAGGATCTTGGCAGTCTGTGGGAGTGGGACTCGAACTCAGAACCTCAGGATTCCAACCTAACCACTAGGATGTGAAGATGCTGGCAGCAGGCTCCATGTACTCCTCAAATATCTGTACAGCTCACAAATGCATATAAATAAACAAGCATAAGACAAAACAGATGTAGTTTCATGTTTTCTAACTAAGGGGTTTTATTAGGTATCCGATTTTCTACTGAAAATCCTCTTTTCCACCTGAACAAAAGTATAGAGTGAAATAAGTTCAGTGGAAAAAAAAACTCCAAACAAAACTCAGAAAACCCAGCTTTTACCAGCATTTAAACCTACCATGCACATACAGTACGAAGCTGTGAGCTCGCTGAATATGCATCTAGAAATATTTAAATGTTCTTAAATGAAGTGTATTTTACGGAAGAAGATTAGGGCCACTGAAAAAATAAAAAAGTTAACTGATTTTTAAAATATTATTTCAGTGTAATATGGGGGAAAAAATTAGAATTCAGTTTTTTTTGTCAGAAGTCTGACTTTACTCTTAGAATTCTGACTGAATTCTGACAGCTAACAAACATGTTAGCATCAAGCCGTAGCCATGTCTGTTTTAGAGCCTAGCTGTCTTGCTTTAATCACCTTCTGCTCTTTCATTAATTAAATTGCATCACTGGGGACCCCTCAGGCACTTAGAAAGTCACCTAATTCCATCATTTTTCACCATGGTGGCCAAACAACTCACATCTTAGTCAGTGAAGCTGAGAGCTCCCACATCCCTTCTCTCATGGTGCCCATCTACATTAAGATCCAAAATTCTGGGCTTAAAGTCAGAATTCTGAGATTAAAGTTAGAATTCTTACTTTTTTCTCATATTAAACTGAAATAAAATTTAAAAATCAGTTAACTTTTTTTTGTTTTTTCAGTGGCCCTAATCCTGTTCTGTAGTATTTACCCTGAATTTGGGTAAGTAAATAAGATGAAATTTGCCAATGAAAATGTTATTTTTACGCTTAAAATAAGATGATTAGATAATATGAGCTTGAAATTAGACAATGCAATTGTTTTTTCTTATTTTAAATGTTATTTGTCTTGATCCATCGGCAAAGTGTCTCCCTTATCTTCTCAACTCAAGAAAAAAATGCACTTATTTTAAGAAAAAATTACTAAGATTTAAATTTTTTGTAGTGTGGAGCTCCGTCGGTGAAAGCCTGAATGTTTCTCAAAAACATTGAGCACTAGTAAACTGATTTGTGTGTAGCTGTCGTTTTGTCCATCTGTTTCATGTTATTTGTGTACATGAATGCAATGGTTCATATGCGTAGGAGCCTTTATGGAATCCGTAAATATCAGATTTGATTATTTGGTATTCATAATTTCATTATATTTGTATTTGAATGCACATACAAGTACCTGTAGTTTAAACACAAATGTTATTTACAAACTAAAAAAGAAAATACAAATCCAGCATTTCAGACACACAGATAGCACAAAATGTTATTTACAAATTACAAAAACTTTACAAATATGCACGGATACCAAACAAAAATCATAAATCTATTTTGAAACAAGAGTCTGTCCATAAAAGATAACCAATTGGTCCATTTGATACATGTATTTGATCCATTTACTTAAATCAACCTTAACATACAAACATTTTGGTGAGTTCAGTACACCCGTCTCCGAGTGTTTCCGAAAACACACGAAGTGAGTCACTCAGGGCTCTCATCCAATCAGGGACAGTCGCCTTCAAGGCCAATAACGTAATAAAGCACACACTGACTCCTTTTGGACGTCAAATAGACAATTTATTAAACTAAACGCATATAATCATATTAATGTTTCCAACCAATGACATATGTGATGGTTTGCCACGGTGAAAGATGTTAGTTATAATTACAAAATCATAGTTAAGGGTAGAAGAAAAAAAAAGATGCGGCCTTACATTTTAGCGATAACATTCGGATTTAACATTACTTTCATGTTATTAATTTTACATTTATCAATAACTACCTTCTCAATCAGTCGGGGTTTTTTTTATATTAATGTACTTATTTTGGTCTCTTGAGTGTGAAAACTTGAAACCTCCAATTTTTCTAAACGCATCACCTTCTTCTTCGGCGTCTGGTGAAACGTCTTTTCCTACTGGAGCTCAGTTTGAACAGCACAGCCACAGTAAGTTAGTTAGTTAGCTGTCGATGTTGACCTGGTCTCTTATAAGAAAGCAGAACATGTTTAATATGGACTGACTCTCAATTCAGGCCTTTATGTCCGAGCCGAGCTGCATAGCAGAGAAGTAACGGCCGGTCAGTCCTTCCTGCCGCCGTAACATTAACTGCTGTTAGCCGATGCTAGCTGACTTTCAACCTTAGCCGTCTTTTGCAAACGTTTCACTGACGGCTCATGTGAGACTCCGCGGTGGAAAACATGAAAAGTGTTTTTTATTTATTTAAAGAGTTCAGCCTGGTGGTGAATTCGTATAATCGGCGCACTTTGACTTGACTTTGAGGCCCAATTTAATGAACCTCACTGGAATTTTGTGATGCACACTGGCGCCATCTAGTGACTGCCAAGAAGCATTGGCTTCAATCCAAAGGAAATGTTTGTTTACATTCTGCTGCAGTCATGTGTTTTATGGAAATAACTGAAATATATATATATTTTGTACATATTAAACATTAATTTAAACGATATGTTATTTGTATACAATATTACAGTTTAATAAGCTGACATTGTTAGAATCGTTTTATGTAATAATGCAATTATTTAACATCAGAAAATGACATTTATTAATTAGAAATAATTGTGTTCTTTTAATGTTAATTTAACCAATAAAAAACTGTAAACTTGATTATTCTAATTGTAAAATCAACAATATATAAAAATACCTTATGTTTACTGTATAATAAACAAATTATTTTGAGTGCATTAAGTTCCCTATATGATAGAAGAATGTGGAAATATTTTATTTTAGTCTTACTACTTAAAATTCTAGTGGTTGGTCAGCAGGCTAACTGATCAAATGTGAGCATTTGTTTGATCAGCCATAGAGAAACTTAACTCTTAAACTATAAGTTGTCTCACAGGAAATATAACAAAAATAAAATTAAAAACATTTATACTCTTCATATATTTTTTTAACTAATACATTTGTTTTTACATGTACTTTGTAGCACACATGAGAAAATAACATGTGGAAAAGTTTTAAAATCATGACTCAAACGGTGACATTTTAACAGAGTGTATCCAAGAGAAGCAGAAAGTGAAGCAATGCCTGTCGTTTGAAGCAACCGCTGTTACTGAGCAACTAAACAGTGCAGCAGGTGGACAAATGTAGAGATTCATCGCTTAGATCTGCACAGCGTTATTCCCCAGTCTTAATTTAGGCTCCTGTTCATCCAGGATGAGCTTTACATGGTGCGTCCTGAACGGCTTCAGGTTCACATGTCGTTCTCCTCCAACAATCTGCAGGAGGTTTTGTACTTCACAGGTAGGCGCACTAAACAAAACACAGCTAAGTATCCCACTTTCAGCCACTTTCTGACTGCCCCCGCTAACACACTGTGCAGACATGAGGGTAGTTTACACTTGGTGCAGTGATATAGACTTTGTTATTGTCTTGCAGTCTATAATGGCGTCGAGGCACACTAATGCCAAAAGAATTAAAGGACTGGACAAGAATGTTTGGTAAGTGAATGAGCATTGAAGCACTAATAATACTTAACCACTGACCTCTTTATGCAATATTTACTGTGTTAACACTTTAAAAATCAGCAGATGTCTTTTTTTTTCTTTAATTTCTCCAGTTTGGTTTTAGAAGCACTTAAAAAAACCACCCAAACTTCTGTACACATTGGGTTTCTTGTTTACTGAGCAGTAAACTGCCAAAAATACCATCAGCAGCTGGAAAGGTTTTAGGGTTTCACATTCTATGGAGTCAGCTTTGTTCCATTACTGGTGCAAGCAAACAACACATTTCAAAAATCGAAATTTGAAACAAAACATGCTCAGAAATCATACTTTAAAAAAGGCTTTATTAGAAAAATGGTTTTCACAGTAAATTTGCAGTTTTTCTCAGATTTTAAAACCTCCCTTAAAAATTAGACAGGGCCTGTTTCTCAATTCACAAGAATGTGAGTACGGACTCAAGTCCTCGCCAAATCTGTTCTTGAGAAGAATACAAGCAAGTCTGGACTCGGGGAAAACGGGACCACGCAGCATAAATATGGGTCAATTGGAATAGAAGCGTACTGATGACATCACCACATGCTCAGCTCATCTGGAGCTGCATTTCACCAGTTATTAATAGTCTCTAGATAATAAATTCTGACTTTTTTCATTTATTGGGGGAATAATAACTAACAAAGTCAGATAAACACAAATCAAATAAACATTTTACCAAATAAAAACAAAATATTGCCATTAGAGCCAGCGGTACTTTACACATGGCTATGCAGAAATACAGCTGCTGCAGACGGGCTAACGTTAGCCCTAGCTGCTGCAGACGAGCTAACGTTAGCCTTGGCTGCTGCAGACGAGCTAACATTAGCCCTGGCTGCTGCAGACGTGCTATCGTTAGCCCTGGCTGCTGCAGACGAGCTAACGTTAGCCATGGCTTCTGCAGACGAGCTAACGTTAGCCATGGCTGCTGCAGACGAGCTAACGTTAGCCATGGCTGCTGCAGACGAGCTAACGTTAGCCATGGTTGCTGCAGATAGGCCAACGTTAGCCATGGTTGCTGCAGATGGGCCAACGTTAGCCATGGTTGCTGCAGATGGGCCAACGTTAGCCATGGCTGCTGCAGATGGGCTAATGTTAGCCATGGTTGCTGCAGATGGGCTAACGTTAGCCATGGTTGCTGCAGATGGGCTAATGTTAGCCATGGTTGCGGTTAGCCTCTCAACATCTGAACTTTTTTATTTTTCATTATGCACTAAATCAGTAAACCTGCCATATAGTGACACTTTAAGTATAATTTTCTCCTCTATCAGACAATCAGAACTCAAAATGAAATGTGCCCCCTGGTGGCGATAAACACAGGACAGGACAAATGGCTCCTACAACGGCAACAGAAAAGATAACTTAATACTCTGAGCTCTGTTAGCACTCCACTGGAAGCTGCTGCAATGCATGCTGGGACAGCTGTCAATCTCAAGAATGGACAAGTCTGCTCTGATGCATGCTGGGTAAAGAGGGAGGAGCAAGAACAACATCCTGGGACTGTGTCCGTTCTTCGTTTTTTTTGTTCTTGTGAATAGGAACAGTAGTAGGGCTGAAGCTGATGACGTTTCACGAGGACATGAGAACGCACAAGTACACATTGTGAGAAACGGCCAGGATGTCTGCCTCACGGACTAAAACTGGTAGTTGGTTCCACAGAAGAAGAGCCTGATAACTAAAAGATCTGCCTCCCATTCTACTTTTAGAAATTCTAGGAATCAATATTTGCAATAATTAGCAGATGAAAGAAGGAAATTCTAGAAACCTCTTTGATCTGGGATTTAAATGACAGGTCCTGTTAAAAAACAACACCAAGTTTTTTTACTTTATTATCAGAGATCAATTTGATTCCATCCAACTGAAGTGACTGGCTAATCAGCTTCTTTTTCAAAGACTATGTTCAATCATGCCTGTAATCTATATAATGGGTTAGCTTCATCTGGATTATAGACAGATATAGCTGAGTATCATCAGCATAGCAGTGAAAATTAATCCCATACTGTTTAATAATTCTACCGATTGGGAGCATAAATATAGTAAAGAGAACTGGTCCTAGCACTGATCCCTCTTCTTCCTGATTTCAGTTATATTTCCTTCTTATCTGGTTACTGGTCTTAAACTCTTAGATCAGAGTCTTAAACATGTTTTAGCTCTGTGACAGCCCACCGCTGCTCTCCCCAGGGTGGCGTTTACATCAGTAGCAGCTGACCCGTCCATTGTTAACCTGGGCCAAGGCTATCCAGACATCCCGCCGCCTTCTTATATCAAGGAGGCTTTGGCGAAGGCAGCGTCAGTGGACCGTATGAACCAGTACACCAGAGGCTTTGTAAGTTTAAAGAGCCCAGGAGGAAGAGGTTCATTTTTAACACTACAGGCAAACAGAGTGTGGACTTATTTAGCCATGAACTGATTTATAAACCAAGCTAATTCTAATAAACTGTCTGTTTATTCTTTAAACATATTTAAACCAGATATGCTGGTGAAAATTCCCAGTCATCCAGGTCATGGTTATTCCAAAATAGTTAAAAACAATCCACCGGACTTTGTTTCCAAGTTTGATGATGTTTCGCTTCCCATCCAGAAAGTTTTTTCAATTCAGAATGTCAGAGAAATAGAGAGGTTTCGGGTATTACAGGCTAACGAAACTAAACAACCCCCATTCCAGAGGGTCAGACCCGCTCATCAGGTCCAATTTGCATGTTTTCTAAGCAAAAACAAGGTTTTGTTTTTGGTCCACTCTATGAAGCCTTGAACTCAACCCTATTTCTGACATTTTGAATTGTAAAACCTTCCTGGATGGGAAGCGAAACATCTTCAAACTTGAAAACAAAGTCCAGCGGATAGTTTTTTAACTTTCTTGGAATGTAAATTCGATGTATACCATATAAAGCTTTTTGCTGTTGATCTCCGTAATGACTGTATGTTTGTCGCCTCGTCTTTAACCAGGGTCATCCCTCCTTGGTGAAGGCCCTCTCACAGGTGTATGGGAAGGTCTACGGTCGCCATGTCGACCCTCTGAAAGAAATCCTGGTCACCGTTGGTGGTTATGGTTCCTTGTTTAGCACCATGCAGGGCCTTGTGGATGAAGGAGACGAGGTGAAGACCTTCTGTAGACTATAATGTTTATCTATACATGTATGGCCATGTATGTAGTAGACTGATGGGATTTATTCTTTCCCCAGGTGATCATAGTGGAACCGTTCTTCGATTGCTACGTACCGATGGTCAGAATGGCAGGAGCCAAGCCTGTATTGATCCCATTACGGCCTGTAAGTCTCATCTTCAGGTTCCTGCTGTTAATGCAAAATGTTATTTAGAACCGATGAGGAATTAAAAGTGAGTCAAACCTTTACAAAAAACAAAAAGTTAGTTAAACATGAAGCTATGAACACATGAACTCATAATAGAGTTCCCAGTTATGTCAGTTATTATCAGGTGAACCTATCTGTGTCGGTTGATCATATGTTTTTGATATTAATTCTGTTTTAAAACCCTGTCATGACCAGATGTTTGCTGTGGTGTAAAAGGTAGTATACATATATATATATATATATATATATATATATATATATATATATATATATATATATATATATATATATATATACACATACACTATATTGCCAAAAGTATTTGCTCACCCATCCAAATTATTGGAATCAGGTGTTCCAATCACTTCCATGGCCACAGGTGTATAAATTCAAGCACCTAGGCATGCAGACTGTTTTTACAAACATATGTGAAAGAATGGGTCGCTCTCAGGAGCTCAGTGAATTCCAGCGTGGAACTGTGATAGGATGCCACCTGTGCAACAAATCCAGTCGTGAAATTTCCTCGCTCCTAAATATTCCACAGTCAACTGTCAGCTGTATTATAAGAAAATGGAAGTGTTTGGGAACGACAGCAACTCAGCCACGAAGTGGTAGGCCACGTAAACTGACGGAGCGGGGTCAGCGGATGCTGACGCGCATAGTGCGAAGAGGTCGCCAACTTTCTGCAGAGTCAATCACTACAGACCTCCAAACTTCATGTGGCCTTCAGATTAGCTCAAGAACAGTGCGCAGAGAGCTTCATGGAATGGGTTTCCATGGTCGAGCAGCTGCATCCAAGCCATACATCACCAAGTGCAATGCAAAGCGTCGGATGCGGTGGTGTAAAGCACGCCGCCACTGGACTCTAGAGCAGTGGAGACGCGTTCTCTGGAGTGACGAATCGCGCTTCTCCATCTGGCAATCTGATGGACGGGTCTGGGTTTGGCGGTTGCCAGGAGAACGGTACTTGTCTGACTGCATTGTGCCAAGTGTAAAGTTTGGTGGAGGGGGGATTATGGTGTGGGGTTGTTTTTCAGGAGCTGGGCTTGGCCCCTTAGTTCCAGTGAAAGGAACTCTGAATGCTTCAGCATACCAAGACATTTTGGACAATTCCATGCTCCCAACTTTGTGGGAACAGTTTGGAGCTGGCCCCTTCCTCTTCCAACATGACTGTGCACCAGTGCACAAAGCAAGGTCCATAAAGACATGGATGACAGAGTCTGGTGTGGATGAACTTGACTGGCCTGCACAGAGTCCTGACCTCAACCCGATAGAACACCTTTGGGATGAATTAGAGCGGAGACTGAGAGCCAGGCCTTCTCGTCCAACATCAGTGTGCGACCTCACAAATGCGCTTCTGGAAGAATGGTCAAAAATTCCCATAAACACACTCCTAAACCTTGTGGACAGCCGTCCCAGAAGAGTTGAAGCTGTTCTAGCTGCAAAGGGTGGACCGATGTCATATTGAACCCTATGGATTAGGAACGGGATGTCACTTAAGCTCATATGTGAGTCAAGGCAGGTGAGCAAATACTTTTGGCAATATAGTGTATATTTATATATACATATTTGCATATGTGTGTATATATATATATATATATATATATATATTGCTAATTCTGGTGTTCTGTGGTAAATGCCAATGGAGCTCCACGGTGCCGGGCAGTGAGCACGGGGCCCACTAGAAGACGTGGGGCCCTCAGGCCACCCTCGTGGAGTCTGTTTCTGATTGTTTGGTCAGAGCCATTCACACCAGTGGCCTGCTGGAGGTCATTTTGTAGGGCTCTTGCAGTGCTCCTCCTGCTCCTCCTTGCACAAAGGAGCAGATGCTGTGGAAGCTCATTGGTAGAATTCTCTTATGACAGAAAGAAGGCCACGATTCACACCATTTTGTCTTCCAGAGGGAGTAAACATTTATTTACATTTCCAAATTCCTACTGCTGTCTTCAACACTTCATACATTCAGCGCTACATCGTCAGACATCTCAGTCCCCCCCCCCCCAACTCTCATTTCATACCAGGCTGCTTTTATAGTTTCCACATCGCACTATGTAGATGTACGTGCATAACTGGAAGCTCTGCCGAAAACTTCCTGGAAATCTCTTAGCTTATGACCTGATTGCGTGCAAGTCAGCCACTAAGAACCCTGTTTTTGCCAAGATTCGTACGTGACTTCCAGGATGTAGACACCGTGTCTACATGCTGCATTGTCTGTGTTGCCAAGTTAGCATAAGGTCACAATTAGGACTACACAAAGCAGTACAATTGCTTCTATACTACCTGTCCTGCTGATGGGTTGTAGACCTTCTACAGCCCTGTCCAGCTCTCCTGGAGTAACTGCCTGTCTCCTGGAATCTCCTCCATGCTCTTGAGATTGTGCTGGGAGACACAGCAAACCTTCTGGCAATGGCACGTATTGATACGCCATCCTGGAGGAGTTGGACTGCCTGTGCAACCTCTGTAGGGTCCAGGTAGCGCCTCATGCTAACAGTAGTGACAGTGACCATAGCCAAATGCAAAACTGGTGAAAAAGAGTCAGAAAAGATGAGGAGGGGAGAAATGTCAGTGGCCTCCACCTGTAAAACCATTCCTGCTATGATGGTCGTCTGGTTGTTGCCCCTCTGGGTCACCTGTTGTTCATTTCATTAACACCAAAGTAGCTAAAACTGATTAACAACCCGCTCTGCTACTTACCTGACCAAATCATTATCTCAGAAGTTTAATTAACTTGATTACAAAGTGTTCCTTTAATGTTTTTGAGTAGTGTATATTTTTATCATTGGTATAATGATCACATTTTCTTACCCACCGTGCTCACAGTAGGGGTAGGTGTTTTCAAAAATGATGTAATTTTCATTTACCTGATCTCAGAAGTCCGGTAAAAAGACACTCTCAAGCGCCGACTGGTATCTTGATCCAGATGAGCTTTCTGCAAAGTTCAGCTCCAAGACGAAGGCCATCATCATCAATACTCCCAACAATCCCATAGGGAAGGTGAGTAAACACTATGGCATTCAGGTAGTCCTGCTTTGAGCATGCTACATCAGACCAACACAGATGGATCCTTCTGTCCTCTTCCTGCAGGTTTTTACCAAAGACGAGCTGCAGATGATCGCGGACCTTTGTATCAAACACGACACGCTGTGCTTCAGCGATGAGGTTTACGAGTGGCTCGTCTATAAGGGTCACCAGCATGTCAAAATCGGTGTGTTTTAAGCTCAGTTCACTTGTGACAGAAGTTAAGAGGGATTAATAATAAGAATCCTGAACAGGTCTGTGTCTCTGCAGCTACTCTGCCTGGAATGTGGGACAGAACCATAACCATCGGCAGCGCAGGGAAAACCTTTAGTGTTACTGGTTGGAAGGTGAGGCATGAAGACGGATAAAGAGTCCACTTTTTTTTTTTTTTTTTTTTTACTAACAACACTGCAAAAAATGGAAATCTAAATAAGTCATTTTTGCTCAAATCAAGTGCATTTTTTCTTGAATTGAGGTGGTAAGTGAGACACTTTGCCAATGGAACAAGACAATTTACATTTAAAATAAGAACAAAACAATTGCTTTGTCTTATTTTAAGCGTATATTATCTAATTATCTTATTTTAGGAGTAAAAATACTCATTCCATTGGCAGATCATCTTATTTACCTACTCAAATTAAGGGTAAATACACTTAATTTAAGACATTTTTTACCTATTTCGAGATGTTTTTTTGCAGTGAAGCACTACTTTCATGCAGTCACACTGGAAAAAATCAAAATCTAGATAAGTAATTTTTTCTTAAAATAAGTGAATTTCTTCTTAAATTGAGGAGATTAAAGAGACATTTTGCCAATGGAACAAGACAATTTAGATTTAAAATAAGAAAACGCAATTACATCTTCTTATTTCAAGTGCATTTCATCTAATTATTTTATTTTAAGGGTTTAAATACTCATTCCATTGGCATATTATCAAATTTACCTATTCAAATCAAGGGTAAATACACTTAATTTAAGAAATGTTTACTTATTTCTAGATCATTTTTGCAGTGCATAATTTTCTACACTGGAAAAAATCGAAATCTCGATAAATCATTCTTTCTTAGAATAGGTGCATTTGTTCTTGGATTGAGGAGAAAAAATATAAATTTTGCTAATGGAACAAGACAGTTTACATTTAAAATAAGAAAACATAATTGCATTGTCTAATTTCAGGTGCATTTTCTCTAATTACCTTATTTTAAGAGTAAAAATACTCATTCCATTGGCGAACTGTCTAATTTACCTACTGAAATTAAGGGTAAATACAGTTAATTTAGAAAAGTTTAACTTATTTCTAGATCGTTTTTCCAATGCACAACCTCAACTGCTCTGCACTGCAAAATATCTAAATCTAGATAAGTCATTTTTTCTTGAAATAAGTGCATTTGTTCTTGAATTGAGGAGGTAAAAGAGACATTTTGCCAATGGAACAAGACAATTTACACTTAAAATAAGAAAAAAACAATTGCATTGTCTTATTTCAAGTGCATATTATCTAATTATCTTATTTTAAGAGTAAACTTATTTTAAGAGTAAACTATCTCATTTACCTACTCAAATTAATGGTGAATACACTTAATTTAAGACATTTTTACTTATTTCTAGATCGTTTTTGCAGTGTGGTCCTTTAGACTGCAGAAAAAAAAAAGAAATCTCAATAAGTCATCTTTTCTTAAAATAATGTTTTCTTGAATTGAGGAGAGAAATGCGACACTTTGCCAATGGAACAAGATAATTTACATTTAAAATAAGAAAAAACAATTGCATTGTCTTATTTCAAATGCATATTATCTAATTATCTTATTTAAGATATTTACTTGCTCAAATTGAGGTAAAATACACTTAATTTAAGAAATATTTACTTATTTCTAGATCGTTTTTGCAGTGTAATTTCTCCAGCTTTTAAACTGACTGGATTCACTCCCTCTGAATTCTTCCTCAGTGAATTAGTGAAGCAAAAACTACCTGTCTGACACAAAGAGTCTTATCTGTTAACTAATGTTTCCTATTAACATGTGCCTATTGTTAAGTCAGCTTTGTATGCGCTCAGAGGAGCAATTTGTGTCAACTCTCCACTAATCCTTGTTTCTGTTCATTAAAGCCGCCGTTACACGCTGGCTGATTTATCCATCGTACGTCTGACGTCCCAGAATCTCCTACAACGCTGGCATACGCTGAACTTTCCATATATTTTTTTCAGTTTTGGGCATATACATAGAGTATTCATAAAGAGTCCCGAAATGATGTCCAACGACAGCCCAACTTATGCATAAGGCACGGCAACATACTGCCCATGAAATGATGCACGAGCCAGTGTCCTCAGCAATGACCCGATGGCACCCGGTCTGCATGAAAAGATTATTTTGATTGCGGTAATAACCTAGCTGCTGCGTACCGCCCGCCGATAAAGAATAAAGAAAAGAAAGAAAGAAAGAAAGTTTTTGGTGTCAGCAGATTGAGCGTCATGTCTGCTAGGAAGGTTGTTGGCGGTGGGCGTGAACGCAGGGAGGATTCATCACTCACCTTCTGGCTCACACTATGATGGTGATGAAGTCTGGAGGAGAACTGACAGTTTCCTCCTGTGAACCCCCTTTATACCAAAACGCCACTAGACCACTACCACTAAACCACTAGAGCTTTAAAGGCATACTATGCAACATTTTTCAGTTAATTAATGTGTTCCATAACGTTTTGGATGATTAAATGAGTCATTTCAGGTTGAACAAAGGTTTTCTCGGCCGCCCTGGTGGTCTGTGGGGGAAATACCGCACTTGCAACTGCAGGAGCACCGACCCGCACCCACAGGCTCAGAAGTCTCGCGAGAGTCAGTCTTGCTTTACGGCGAGAACTGCTACACGCCCCCAGTTAAAAGCATGCTCGTTGCTAGCACAGTGGCGATATTTGTGCAGTTATGCTACGTTCACACCGGACGCAGCAAAAGCAGCAAAATCGCGTCTGCTGCTTCATTTTTGCTTCTTGTACCAGTTAGTTCTGAGGCGCAGCTGAAGCAGCTTTGCTGCTCTGGCTGCGCGGTGCAAAAGTGTGTCTGACGCGCGTTGGGCGGAGCTACTCTATCCTTTCTCTGCCTTGCAGCTATATTTGCTGTGATCAGTGGGAATAAAGTAGTTTTAATATGTTTTTAAGTGAGAAAATCCACCTGAAAACGTAATCATTGCAGTCAGTTAATCCAGATTACCATCCTGCCTTCTAATATTATTTCTGTTGGAGCCGCTCAGACCCCCACATACCAGCGGTGCGCTGTCAGTAGGAATCCCTTCATCAGCAGCCTCTGGCCGGGTCGCCTCCTCGCGGTTCACCGCGGCAGCTGGTAGGTGTTTTTCATCTAAATAATCCAAACTGCAGGCAGCAGGATAATTAAAGCCAACATATTCTGTTGGCAGATTTCTGTATTTTAAGTTAATTTATGCGTCAATAAACTGTTTCAGAGGAGTGATCACAGCGCTCTGATCATCAGCGCTGTGTCTCTCTCCCTGCCAGCTCCCAGATCAGCTTCTCTGATTGGTTGACGCGGCGCGTCGAGCAGCAAAAATGAAATTTTCCCATCTCGAGCAGCAGCGCGTTTGCGGCGCGTCACGCGCGTCAGATGCTTAAACGCGCCCGACGCGCTGCTTCAGCTGCTCAGACGCGCTGCGCCTGCTGCTCAAAACGCACCGCGGGACCTTTTGCTGCTCCTTGACGCGCGTCAACCATTGACTTTGCATGTAAACTCGCTGCTTCTGCCGCGCCTGCTGCGGTGTGAACGAAGCATTAGTCATTCGTTGCGTTCGCCTGTCTGCTAAGCTCAAAACAACCGCGCCTGGCTTGACGGAGAAACCAGGAGAACAGCTGTGCATATTTACGACAGTGCACTTTTACTTTCGCCCTCTGGGGGGAGCTTCGCTGGAAAATCAACACCGGTTGCATAGTATACCTTTAACCAGAGGAGACTGTAAAGTTCAGCGGCGTAGGACCAAATTTGGCCAAATGGTTGCATCCATCAGAGGAGCACAGTTATGGAACAAACTGCCAGCTCATGTTAGGGGCTGTGGAACCTACATGTGTTTTAAATTCTCCTTGAAACATTGGTTGAAAACTAACCAGTCATGTGATCACAGGTAAATTGATCTGTTTCCATGGGCCTGTTAACCTCATTTTATTGTGATTTTATGTTATCTGTTTGTGTCCACTCTGTTCTCTCCTGTAGCGTCTGGTTTAATGTTCACTGTTTTTACCTGCCTTAGGACAGCGGAGGCAAATTAGCTGTTGTGCTAACTCTGGCATATTTACATTGATGCTTTATGCTGACATGTTGATGAATGTGCTTTGTCCTAATTCAAATAAATAAAAATAAATAAAAAACGCTGCCAATACGCCATTATACAGTAGCTGGAAGTTAGAAACACGTTCAGCGCTCGTCTGGAACACGTCAGATACGTTGATATGCGTTGGAGAGAAGTTCTGGATAAGTTATGCAGAAGTTAGTTGATAGGCTAGACGCCACGACTGATGAGTAACCGACACTTAACGTATGTCAACGATCACATAACTGACCTGTAACTTATGACCCATGTATGGCATACGCCGGCATACGGCGGGAAATTTTCAGCATGCTGAAAACGTGTTTCAGCGTACTTCAGCGTGCTCACAACTTATACAAAATGTACCCATAACTTATCCAACGTATGCCAGCGTTTTGCCTTTTCATATGTCAGGCATCCGCTGGTCTAAATCGTCCAGGTGGGACGGGGGTTTGAAGAAGCTAAAAGATCTGATGTCAGCAAAATAATTCACCCTGCGCTCGTAATAATCCGCTTTACGAGCCAAAGTTCAACCAAAACAAAATGTCTTACAATCTGTTTCTTCCAGCTTGGTTGGTCTATTGGACCTGAGCACCTGGTTAAACATCTTCAGACTGTCATGCAGAATACTCTGTACACCTGTGCTACACCTCTACAGGTACGTCACACACTACAAGTTAGAAAAGTGTTTAAAACCCTGATAGACACTGTATGTTGCTTAGCGATGCTGCTGCCAGGAGGCGGTGGGTCTTCCTCAGTTTGTAGGAGGCATTCTCTGCCATTGTCGCCAAATAAGAAAAGTCTAAAAAAAAAATCTACATTGAAATGGCTTCAATAATAGATTAAAAGTGTAAAACTGCGGTTTGCATGCAGGGCTTGAATAGTAACATCCCTCTGTTTCCTGCTCTGTCCTCCTATAGTTATTTCTGACCAAAAGATTCAACAATTGTCCCATGTGTGACTTTGTAGTGAGGTAATGTCTAGTTGAAAAAGTAACATTTAAGTTAAAAATGCACCTATCAATCTGGTTTATGTCAGGTAACCTTAAATCTGAACTTTAACTTTTCTAACCCATGAATGCTCTTTGAATTAAAGGTCTCCATCGTAGCCTGCTCTTTGCATTTAGTTTTTTGCAAAAAGCTGCACCTCTGATCTCATCTGACCGGAGCAGGATTAAATCCTAATTATAGAAATTATGTTTATTGGTTTTAACGGAACAATTTGTGAAATAGGTGAGAGGTGTTTAGACTTGAGCTAGGCCTCAGAATCAATTCATTTCAGTTTATTTATATACCGCCAATTCACAACACGTCATCTTATCAAGTTTTCTATCTAAGGAAAAGTTGATTGCATCGACTCTTCAGCAATCCCTGAAACTCAGCATGCGTGTAGCGACAGTGGAGAGGAAAAACTCCCTTTTAACAGGAAAAATCCTCCAGGAGAACCAGGCTCAGTGTGAGCGGCCATCTGCTGAGGCCCACTCGGGTTCAAGGAGACAGAAGCAGACATAGAAAAAGAAGCATAGATACAAAAGGCAACTGTCAACCAGCTCCACAGGCGGCCCCGTCCAGGAAACACACAGCCAGGCAGACGAGCTCCGAGCCAGCTCCCATGTCAGAGGATGAAGAGAGCACATCCAGTTAGTCACAGTCAGAGAAACAGGACTACACTGGAAAACAGGCCAAGCTCCAACATCTAGAAACAAAGGTGTTGATGGCAGCAGCACAGCTGATATTTCTCTCCAGGATGGAGTCACAGCCAAACAGGAACAGACCAGATGAAGCTACTATGAGAAAAAGCAGAGAGAGCAGAACGGTAGAGATTGAACTAACAGATTCTGCAGAGTGGGAGAATAGAGATAGAATGAAGCGGAATCCTCATGTCCTCCGGCACTCTGCGTCTATAGCAGCATAACTATAGAATCACAGAAGCTAATCTAGTTTGTGCTTTAGGAGGCCGTGGCAGAGGGTTTGCTGCTGAACTATAAGTTAATGGGTCAGCCCGACTGTTACTTCTCCTCATTGGCTGAAGAACTGGAGGGAAAGAGGGACCGCCTCGCCGCCATTCTGCAGGAGGCTGGGATGACTCCAGTTATCCCAGAGGGTGGCTACTTCATGCTGGTGGATGTAACTCCTCTCAGTGAGCTACTGCACCTCACACCAAACACACTTTAACTCCTTACATTAATAGTATTCCTCAAATAAATAATCAGTAGAATGCACTCATTATGTATCACTGTTGCTTAGAGGAAAAGTCCGATCAGCAAGGAATGACCAGTGGATCATTATTTATACCTAAAACTAATACGTTTGCAAAGATTTAATGAATTTAGCGTTAGTAAGTAAAAAAATAAGAAATAATAATTTGATCACTGAGTCTGGGAGCGGCCATTTTGGCCCAAATATAGTAACCCCTCCCTCCTGCCATCTTCCAGCAGTGACGTCAGGGTGCGGTAAGCCTAGCGCCATTCTCCCCGCTTTACAAGCTAAATCAATGGGAACTACTAGACACATCTGCAATCAGCAACAATTATTGAAGATTTCCAGAGGACTTCACCATTGAAATTCACCAGAGCTATAGTGAAACTGACAATGAACACGTGCATGGCAGCTGGATGCTGGAATACATCGGGTAAAAGTGAAAAAAAAGAGTTATTCCACCTTTCTGATTCCTGATCCTCCACGGACGGGTTGGTCGTTGGATCGCCAACTTGAAGAGGGAGGATTTGCCATCGAACTTCTGGCCAGAGAAAAAACCCGTAATATGTAGCCAACATTTGGAAGAAGAATGTTTTGAAGATGACTTGGATAATAGCGCGTTGTGACAAACACCAGATACAGCACTGGGACTTGATCAACAGCCGATACCGCACCGTGACGTCACTAACCAGTAGGTGGCAGTAGTGTTCTTTGACAAACATGGATGCCTCCAGTAAAGCACATTCACATGAAAATTACTCTGAATTAAAAACACTGATCATTTATTGAACACGATGGAATCATTTTATATTTAAAGAACTTTCAGAAGTTTGAGTTTTGAATATGAGCGACTTTTCCTTTAATGCATCGGATTTCAGCAGTGGCTGTTTTCATGAATAATATCTGTGCTTAAAATAATGACAGTTTGGAAATCATGGATTTTGTCTTGATATTAAATCAGGTTGATTTTAAAAAAAGTTTTCCCCTAATACCATGGGGGGGGGTTGGGGGCAAAAAGGCTGAAAATAAAGAGAATGAACTGATTTAAAGCCTCCTTTGATCCTTCCATCTAGACTACAGCAGTATTTCTACATCCTGTCTTATGGAGTGAATTTTGCTTCATTATTGTTGTAAAGAACATTTTTTGTAGAAGAAAAAAAATGGGAAAAAATGCAATTCATAAAACTTAACCTAAGAAAGAAAAAATAAATATAAAAGTAAATAAAATTTCTAAGCATGTTTTAGAAATTATATTTAAATTTCTAAAACTTTTTATTATTATTTAAGTAACATTTTTAAAAAGTGTAATTTAAAAGCTAAAATCTAAGAAAATAGAAAAGTTTATTTTTGAATTCCCATTTACAAAACATGTTCCTTGGAACAATAATGGAACAGAATTCCCTCCATACTGTCTGCACTGAGCTGCACATCCTACTTTGAATCATTGTTTCCTTCTGGATCTATTCTAGATCAGGATCTGTCCCACATGGCCGACGATGAAGCCTATGACTACAAGTTTGTTAAATGGATGATAAAAGAAAAGGTGAGACGAGTTCATTATTGTAGAAATAATCCTTTTTTTTTTTCCAGTATCACTATCAGCCGATACGTTCCAGCATCTGCTGATTCATCAGGGCCCTCAGCAGATCACATGTTCAGAAATGTTTCTTTTCTGTTTAAATTTGGAACATTTGTTATTAGTTTTTTATTTAAATCATGTAAATAAAGCAAAAAAAAAAAAAAAGGCCTGAAGATTTGTCCCAAACTTAAATTTAGCAGAACATATCTGGGTTAAACTGTTGTTAAAATAATCAGCATCAACCTTAAAAAACCCAGAATCAGTCGAACTCTTCCTGGTTTCTTTTAGAAATTAGCTGCTATTCCCGTCACAGCGTTCGTTGGAGAAGAGTCCAAGAAGCAGTTTGAGAAATATATTCGCCTGTGCTTCATAAAGGTACAAAAATAAATATGTCTGTTACAGTTAGAAGTGTATTAGAAGGAACATTTCAATCTAAAAGGTTGGTGCTTCGTGGATGTAAAATGTTCTCGCAGCTGCTTCAGAGAACAGTGACGTTTGTTTTGGTCTTTGTTTTGCAGGAAGACAGCACTCTGGAAGCAGCGGGGAAGATCCTGAAAAACTGGAGCAAAGTTTAACAGGATCTGAGCAGCTGAACTCTGAGGGAACAGAGAGGTGGACGGCTCTTTAACAGGAGGAGAATTTTAATTCAAACAGTTTATCCTGGAAGGCCAATAAAAAAAAAATACATCTAGAATCCTTGTTAGTGTGAATTTTTGCTCAGACATAATTTTATTGGGTAGGGTTTTTTTTCATTTATGTGTTTATTGTTGTGATAAATTTCTAGTTATAAGATTTCCAGATTATCATCTAAATCATAAATTAACAAGTGTGTGCAAAAATAAATTTCACTCAGTACAGCTCTCAAGTCATTTTCATGTTTTAAAGTGCAGCCTTGATAAAGGAAACAGCAGTGATAAAGTAATAATTATTACTAATTAGAATGAATGATTAAAAATAGAAAAATGAGTGAATTGTCAATAAAGAATTTACTCTTTTTTTTTTTATTGGGAGATTCACAAATTCTAAGAATATGATTAAATGGTTCTACTGTGGGTTCTTTATATAAATTTGAATTAGGCCTATTTTTTATATGTGATTTTGGGGCTATAATTGCTGTGGGACACAGTCACAGCAATTTATTTACCTAAAAAAATAATGTAAATAGTAAACAGTTCTGGTTTATCCACACTTGAATCAGTGTCATGAAAGCTCCACAAAGTCGAGGTGAGTTTTCATTATCATCCAACCGTGTATGGAGTTATGATTGATGTATAAAACAAGACAGCATGCAACTTAAAGTAATGATGAAGTTTATGTATATATGGAGGGAATTTTGTTCCAATATTGCAGATGAAAAACACGTTTTTTAAATTAAATGCTGAAAAATGTATTGGAATTTGAAAACAAATGCAACTGAGAAATAAATCTTTAAAAAATATTTTAGGCAATTTTTTGAAAGTAACGTTGCTATTTTGTGAGATTTTAATCTTTCATATGTTTGTTGTTCAAAGATAACTTTTTTATATATTTTTTTTTCAAGTAGTTTATTTTTTATGGATTTTATAATTTTGGTTTTAGATTGCTGCTTTGAAAAAAATTAAAGCAATTTGTAAAACTCAAACTGGGGAAAGAAAATAAAAGATTTAGAATATAAAAGTCGCATTTGACAGGATTGTTCCTCCATATAGGTTAGATCATCAAATATTTAATATGATCAAATTAAATATGAAGTTTTTTTTTTTTTTTCTTTTTAAACGATGGCATTTCTTTTTGGCAAAGATTGAGGGTCTGTCACTTACTGCATTGAACCACTAGAGGGAGGCAAAGTACACTAGACCGGAACCAAACTCCCTTTCTTACAAGTTTTCCGCTCATTACTTTGCAGCCCCTACAGTTAGAAACAGAACTAGGTCAATTTAAATAAAAAAAAAGAAATCGAATTATTGCATCTACTTTTCAATTGACTGTTTTTTTTTACTTGGCAGCTGTTTTGGTTTGACAGAAATGTAATAGATGATTGTAGATAATCACTTTAATAACATTAAGATCATATTGTTTGCTGCAGAAGATGCTCCAAGTTCAAACTAGTCTTAAAATTATGTGTGGATCTATAAGGCTTAATGTTATTATAGTGCCAGAAGAATTCATCACTTTTAAACCTTTTCACAGTTTGCCACAATACCAACTTCAGGGTATTTTACTGGAATTCAAAAAGCAAAATGTTTGATATGAGGGAAGAGGAAGGAAAAAAGGATTCATGCTTTTCAAGTTTAAGAAAGTAAATTCTAATATGTATGACTTGTATTCAGCCTCTACAGGTCAATACTTTGTGTCCGGTTACGGTTCCTCTTCTTATGTGGTATATTTATAGCAGTTTTGCACAATATATTAATATATTGCATTCAAAATATTGCATCCAGGAAAATCAATTTACATTTTAACGATCATTTGAATTTTAGTCCAATAGATAGTAATAAAATGTTTTGATATAAACCTATTAAAGTAACACTGTGTAACTTTTGATTCGAGCATTAGCTTATTTTAACCCTATAATGCCAAATGTATCATATTCGATACATATGGTTTCTGAAATGTTTTGCGTCTGACACCTTTTGCATAATTTAATGGTAAAAACTTTGCTCAAAATCCTATTGTACACAATCAGATATACCTGATAACAGCCAGTAGAAGACTACACAAAAAATAATCTTGACTTATCGCATAGTAATATATTATTAATATCAAAAATGTATTTCTGTTTTTTCTTTTTACATATTTTCTAAAAGGGCAAATTAGGAATTCAAACCAAAAAAAGTAATTTTCTGTTTTGTTTTATTCTTGGATCGGGCTTTAAAGGGTTAACATATATTCTGATTTGCAGCTGTTGGTGTGTTCTGGTCCAACTGGTGATGTGTAACTTGACAGGGTCAGATCCGTGGCGGTTCTGATCAAAATGCACCAGGGGGGCCATGGTGGCGGAACACCGGATGTCAGTTAGACGTTGTTTTTGTTGTTTTTGTCGTGATTTAGTCCAGAAATTGGGCTGCGTTTGATCGGTTTATTGTGTCCTGTTTTAATCCAATAATAGTTGTTAAAAATCGTGTCTTTCACGTCTTTTCAACAATCAGAAAATTTCGACTTTTGACCTTTCGCTTTTCAACCAAATCTAACATTGTTTGGTTACATATCAAGGCGTGGCATATCTATCAGCCTTTCAATTCTTTAAAAATAATTTTAATTTTTAAAATAAATTTTGGATGGATTTTTTTTTCATGAGGGCACGAAAAAAGAAACAAACAAAACAGGTTAATTGTTCGTCATTTGAAATATTAAGTGAACCTAAAAGTTCAACGACTTCCTTTTTTCATCATCTTTAACATGAAACTTTGAAAAGTAAAGAATAAAACTTATCCAATTTACTAATCATTTACAGTTTCTGTTCCAGTAAATATAATTAATTCTTAATTAATTCTGTATTATCTCTTTACTACAGTAGCCATCTGCTGAAGAACCGCCTGTGGTCAGAGATGGGAAGTAATGAAGTACAAATACTTCCTTACTGTACTCAATTAGATTTTTCTGATATTTTTACTTTACTTTACTACTTATTTTTATGGCGACTTTTTACTTCTACTGCTTACATTGTTACACAAATATCTGTACTTTCTACTCCTTACATTTTTAAAAATTGTCTCGTTACTTTAGTTTTGAATCATTTCAATGGAGTTACCGTTATTATTTTTCACGTCATCAATACCAAATTCAATCTAATTGGATGGGAATCTACGTTGGATTTGACGCACCACTACAAGATGAATCGACAGATTCGGCGGTATTCATTGGCGGCAAATCATTGCAGCTTGGTGGCGGTGGCGTTAGCATAGTAGCATGGACGACGAGATGATTGAAAATGAACACAACGGAGATCTAGTCCTATTGGCAGACATCCATTTAAAATGTAGGCAACGGCATGAAAAAAGTGGTTTCTACTTTTACTTTTATACTTTAAGTAAATTTACAAGCCTGTACTTTGTTAGTTTTACTTGAGTAAAGAAGTTTAATCAGTACTTCCACTTTTACCAGAGTATTTTTTAACACAAGTATCTGTACTTTTACTCAAGTACGGAAAGTGAGTACTTTTACCATCTCTGCCTGTGGTCCGATCCATCGCTGAATGGGTCATGTGACCCAGAGTCCTACTTCACGGCAGTTGAGCTTCCCTAAAAGTTGCAGTTAGCAAACAAACCAGATCTGATCCTTTCTGATGTAAAGGAATGTTTGAATCATGTCTTTCTATGTTTTCTAATTTATTGGTTTAATTTTAATTTTTTGTTCTTCTAGTTTCTGGTCATATTTTTTGAGTTCTTATGTAGTTCTTGTTTAACTCCTGTTGCCTCCTTTTGTCGGCCTCTTTCCCGTAGCTCCCTTCTAGATGCCTCTATCCACACCTGTGTTTCTCGTTTCCTACTCCCCCTATATGTGCTGGAACCCACACAAATGTAACTACTAACCCCATATTTTGTATTCTAAGTAGATTATGATATATTTCTAACAAGATGTCCATCCTACTTTCTGTATTATTATATTTTATGCTTATCAAAGCTGAGCTTGAGTCTGAGCAAAGTATTGTTTGCAGTGGTTTTTCATCCTCTATCCATTGTAAAGCCAATAGTATTGCTAACATTTCACCTGTATATATTGATAACTCATCCGTCATTAGTCCAGTCTTTGTTCGGTCTCCCATATATACTCTCCCTGGGCAGCTCCTCAGTGCTGGTTACTCATCGTCATTTCTTTGGCCTTCATGCAAGTTTCTCTGGACTTCAGTATTTTGTTTGTAGATTTTTTTCTTCTGTTGCCCCCTTTGTTTTTAACTCAGCTAGAAACCACCTCAGCTTCCACTTCTGCATTTGTGTTCTCTTCAAACCTCCACCCTACCTGACATGCTTTAAATAACACTTCATAATGTAAATGCATTAAATAACCATGAGATATCACTACAGGTTTGGAGAGAAATTGCAATCCAATGCAGTCCAGAGACGTTAGAGAAGGCAGCTGAGAAGGCACCACAACCGGGTGTGGCTTCATGACACATCATTACATCAGACAAGCTGCAGATGAGGAGACGTCCATTGCTCCAGCCTTCTTAAAATATTGTTCTTACATCAAGGACACCGCTCTCATTCCATTCCCATATCTTTGCTGGTACAGAATGAAGACTCAATCAGAAGAACTGTCCTAATTAGATAAACTACTTTGGAAAACAGAAGTTCTGACAGACAACAGACAGGAATTTTGGGGGTTTAACAGACTCACACATCATCAATAATTATAATCCTAACACAGATCAGACATATTTTCCCCCTGAGGTAGGATTATTCTAGTTGGCTGAACGTTGCCTTGAATTTACTATCAACTCCATGATTTCTCTGTCTGCTGGTCCAAAGTGTTGTAAGTTGCCATCTGAAGGCGCTACACATGGAGGCTTTATGTCTGGCGCCCTCTAGTGGCTAAAGGTTATACTGTTTTGTTTAAACTTCTGTCCAAGAGTCCATAATCATCCTTTTATATCATCATTACCTCCTGCTGGGACCAGCTGCTCTCTCCCAGCTAAAAAAAAAAGCAACCCCACAGTGAAATGCTGCCACCACCATGCTTCAATATTGAGAAAACTGGTTCCGGCTGAAGATTCAT